TTCGATGCATTAAAATTTCAATTCGGTATTAATAAAGTTTACAAACAATTAATTTCTTATTAATAGTTGCAGTCGCAAGAATCAAAGCCTGTTCCGGCTTCACCAGGTAAAACGCCCGGTGGTACCTCTCCTTGTCCTTTAAAAATATTGCTGTACGATGTCTTCAGATAATTTACGTGCCCCTGCAACGATCTTATTCGACCTTGAGCCTGCTCAAACGCCTCGTTCAAATTATTTATTTGACCCTGCATCTTCTGCCTAATCTGTAAATGATAAGACGAAAAATGAATTGCAGTCAATATTCGAATAGGTACAATTTCGTTTTCATCAGTAAAACATTTTACTTCATCTCTATCCTTCTGCGCAGCTCTTGCTGTAGCTCTACATTGAGCTAATTGCCTTTCCATTTCTGCAATCTGGCCTTGCATCGATCTTCTTACAGTTTCACATCTCTCTTTCGTTCTTGCTACTTGCCTCGCAGAATCTTCTCGAACCTTTAATGTCCATCAAATATTATCACACTGTGCTTTGTCACAATATGCGTAATGTCAACGTACTTGTTCGAGCATCGCCGTTAGCTGAGTAACTTCGTGCATTTTTTCATCTATACGTTTCTGCAGCTGCGCTTCGTGCTCTTCAAATCTTGCAAGAGTATTCTTCATGCGTTCGTTTTCGTGTCGCAATTCAGTATTCTTTCTTTCCAATTCCTCAAATCGTCCAGAACCATGACCTCTTTCCTCCTGTACATTTTATACACATTACAAAGACGGATTAAGAATTTTTTAAAGAATCGAGAATAATTATATGGTTTTAATAGTAACCTGAAGTGCTTGATGCTCTTGACGCAAAACGTCTAACTGATTTTGCAAAGTTTGCATTTTATCTTTGCACCCTATAAGCTCTCGCGAGAGATCCTCGCAGTTTCGTTCGGCGACTATACGTAGTTGTTGCGCTTCCTGAAGCTTCACCTGTGTCTGCTTCAAGATATCCGGCAAGGGTGCAAGTTCGGCAAGCTTTTCTTGGAACTGATTCTATTCGAATCATAATAAAATGTACATAATTGGCAAACTTATATACATGATTTCTTTACTTACCTTGACTCTTCCTATTTCTAACGTCACATTTTCATTCATTCGCGCGTTATCCATCTCCATTAGGTCAAGTTGCCGACGTTGCTCTTCCACTTGTTGCTGCGCCTATTTTTCATGTTTTTTGCATGTATTAGTGTTAATGAACTATACTTGTATTCATTTTTTTATTTTAATTATGTGTATTATAAATATAAAAACCTGAAGATATTTATTGCGATAATCCTCTAATTGACCAGCTTGATCCTGAATGAGGGAACGCAATTCTTCCAGTTCATCCTGCGCTTCACGAAAACGTTGCTTGAAGACGATCAAAGTTTGTTCTTGCTCGACCATTTGTTCCTTAAAACCTATCGATAAATTGATCGTGAATAAGAAACAAAGTTAAAGCGAAGCGTACTTTGAATCACCTTCGTATTTATCTTTTTCAGCTTCCATTGCCTTCAAACGTTCCTGAGCGTCTACCAATTTAATTTCTAATTTTTCTTTTTCCTCGATAGTATCACGAGTTTGCTGTTTCAACTTATCAGCATCTGTTCTTAAACACGAAACCTCGCATAATTTGTTTTTGTAATCATCTTGTAGGCGTGCATATTGCTCACGCAGGTCACGTAACTGTTGCTGAGGACACGTGCTAGCGCCCTTTTATCAAATCAGCCGCTTTAGTTCGTGTGAAATTTTGTTCTCAAGTTCAATCTTACCATAGGAGCATTTATGCAAGGACCAGTACAGGTTGAAGTAGGAGCCGGTGGCATCTGTGGCTAAAGAAAAACAATCTTATATTACATGTCCGGAACATTGCATTTAATCAAAATAAATTAAGAACCTATGTAAAAACTCATTTATATTACGTTAAATTACTTTATAATATTGTAGCAGTTTTAATCCAAAAAACTAATTGTAACTAAAAATATTAAACGGATACCTTAGGCATAGGTACAGAAGGTGGTTGTATAACTGGAGGTGGAGGTACATAAGGCGGCGAGCCAGCATTTGGCATACTCATAGTTGGAGCTGGACAACAACCGCAAGGTGCACAAGGGCCAGTGCATTTAAGCAGTTTACGCTGTTGTTCTAATTGTTGACGTTCCCGTTGAACGTTAGCAAGTTCTATCTGCATGTTGCGTACTTCGCATTCCATACTTCCCAATTGTTGTTCCTATAAGAATGATGGACATATAAGTACATGCAAAGTTAAAATTGATTATATTTCAAAGATGTACTAGCTGTTTGGTAGTGGTTCCATAAGCTGCAAGTTTATTTTCCATTTCCGCAGGACATGCTCCTCGCGGAGGCAGAGGCGGAGGCGGACATGGTTGCGGTTGTCCTGGACATTGCGTTTTAACTGTAGCTGGACTTCTGCAACACATTTCATCGATTTGCGAAGATGCACTGCTCGTGATACAAGCACCTGTTACTGATGCACCACCCGCAAGTCTTGGTGAATCTATAAATATTACCACATATTAATTTTACCATAAAAGACACTTGTTTTCACATAATGATATGTATACTTCACCTCCACTAGCTACGTATGTTTGACTCCCACTTCTCACTGAAACGCATTAAGTATTATTTTTAGAAAGTCGTAATTTAATTTTAATTTATTAAAATAAAAAAGACGTTAAAGAATACATACCGCATACAGTATTCCCAATCGGTGATAAAGTATCAGCGAACTGAGGTTGAAGACAACACTTGCACCGACAATAATCGTCGTCTTGCTGCAAGGTAGTAGTGAATGAAAAGGAACGTAAGGGAGAAGGGCTTGATACTTCGGACGAAATTCCACCTGGGCACGGGTAACAACAAGGACTAGTAGGACAAACGATTCGTTGATTCAAGCAAGCTAATTGACGTGTCAATTCCACATTTTCCTTCACGACTATTCTCATTTCAGCCTGTAGCCCGCATACCTTCCTCTGAAGATTTTCAACTGCGGAATCCTTTTCTAGTAACGCCTCTTCTAATTTATATCTAACACAACGAAAGAGTGAACTTTTGTAATAAAGACAAGATCACACATGATTTATGTCAACAAATTTTCATTGATAACGAAATCAGTGCGATCGTCGTTACGGAAACCGATCGATGCTCATATTTCTCGCACGATGTTCGTTTTTCCTATGTAAAAAAGCGATGAACGATCTTATTATATATATTACTATTGCAGAACTTACTTGCCACCTTCAAGTTGTGCATTTTCGAATACCAGTTTCTCTTGCATGGTCAACGATTCCGTTAATTTCCCGGTCAAACTTTGAAGACATCTGTCTTTTCCCTTTTTTTGACTATCTGCTACAACGATCTTTGGAATATCGTCTTCTGTATATCCGCAAACGATTACTCTCGGAAGCCTAATTATAAAAAGAACATGAGTCTTAAGTATCGAAAGGGAAATTAATATAATCGTAACATACTTGTCTTCAGGATATTCTATTTGAGGCAAATCGAAACGTTCTTTAAGCATTTCCAATTCTAGTTCTTTCTCATCCTCCACTCCTAGCATTGCTTTTCTTTCTTTAGTCGTAATTTCTTCTTCTTCCTCGGTAATAATCTACAATTTATTTTTTCTATATACTGGTAAAATCTTTTCCGTAATATCTATATTGATCGTTGATAAAAGATACATACTGCTTCAGGTTTTTTGAATGGTTGCATATCGAACATCTTAGCGAAGGTGGTGCTTGAGAAATCAGACAAACCCAATAGTCGCTGTAATTTCCTCGTTATTTGTTCAAACTCCGCTAATTTCTTCATTACTTCGTCCTGCTTTTCTTGAATTATTAATGTATCTTCATCCGTTAAATCCTTTTTCTACAATACAAAATAATTCATTCCAATTTTGAAGTTCTAGATTTTTAATTCTTCTGGCTCATTATTCATAAAAGTAATACGTTTGTAAGAGCAGCTATTTCTTGTTTTAACTGCTCAATCTCTTTCGAAAGCACGACACATCGTTCGTCCGCGGTTTTCATTTCCAACATTACACTGCTATCAGTTAAAGGTGAAGAGCTCAATATCGATTCATTTCGACCACCAGGTTTAATCGGTACACCTAGACAATGGAAAAATTTAATATGCATCTATATTGCATATTTGTACGTTATAAATAATTTATAATACATATACCTTCACCGACACCTGGAGGAAGAGGATATGTTGGAGGTCGTTCATTTTCGTACAACTCCTCAGTTCTCGTTTCCACTACTATTTCTTCCACGCGTTCTTCAGTTACAATCTCTTCAAGTATATCTTCTTCAATAACTTCTTGTTCTGTGATTTCGTCTTCATTTGTGTCAGCCATTCTGTAAAAATAAAAATATTAATTATAAGATATGTAATTTAATGTTCGTACTAAATATAAAAACTTCAGCCAAAAATTTCTGCACTTTTGTGGTTCTTCGTTTTCCTGATTTAAACTTTCGAAATTTTGCAATGTTGTTGTTTCAAGATTTGATTCGTCTATTCTTTGATCAAATTCTTGTTCAATTCTCGGCTGCTGGACTTCCTCCTCTTTAATTTCTTCTTTTTTAACTATATCCTGTTTGCTTTCCTCCTGTTCTAATTGTATGTATTCAATTTCCTCTTGTTTAATTTCCTCTGTCTTATCTTTCTTAAAATCTTCAACATTCAAAGTCTATAAGAATTGTTTTTAATCAACATATAAGAATCTATCGTAGTTACATAATTTAAGTACAAATAATACCAAAATCACACCCGTTCAAGAATGTGCGGTTCAAGTTCCACTTGTTGCGAAAATAATGATTCTACAAAATTTTTCGTATTTTTCGATTCAAACGGAACTGCATACCCTTCTTGATGGTACTCGATCGCTAACGAGTATACATCCGGTAAATTTAGAGGTTTTTTTAGATCGAACAAAGATTCTAACGAGCCGAACGCATCTCTTTTCAAAGAGGTCTCCCTATTTTCTGCACTCTTCTTTTGTAATTTTATGCTACTCCTTTTTAAACGTTTTAAATCATGAAAGCTTTTAGTTTTGTTGGATAACCCATCAATTTCGTGAGCATTTAGAGGTGTTGGTGAACTTCTTGGGGAACGAGTTGGATTCCACGCACACGGTCTCCGCTTCTAGAGAAATTAAATCGTTTTTTTCTTTTTAGAAATACTACTCATTTAGTTTATATTGCTAAATTCTTGTTACAATTTTGTATCAGCTTATTTCATAATTTTAGATATAAAGAACCATTTATGAAATTTAATTGAATACAATAAAGTTCGAGATTTAAAAATCGTAGATATACATAATTGGAAATTTAGCCAATATTTTACCTTCATTATTTTACCTTCGATAGAACACCGTTGCTTCACTCGGAAAGGTTTTACGCTACGGCCGATAGCAGATAGTGCGCGCAATTAAAGGACAATCCTTTTATCTTCTTTAATTACTGAAGAAACGGTATTACTATCAAAATTGCGTTGAACGATTTCTCGATTTTCTTCGAAATTATCTTTTTTTTGGGGGCAATTTTTATCAGTAGAGAAACTGCAACACACGCGAATAATGAGTGAGGAAATCTAAATTTTATATTTATTCGAGATTAACTGAAATTAAAACGAAAAATTTTATCAAACATGACACTTACGGGAGAACCTTCAATTCATCTTCAAGTAAGAATGTAAGACACGCGTCTTTTTTTTTATATTTATGCGATTTCATATTTGAGCGCATCAGCTGTATTCAAGACATCGAATTGCTTGTACAGAAATTAAAAAGAAGAATTAAAATGTTACTGGGGCTTATCTAATTATAAGATAAGAACATCATTTATACTTGTCAAATGTTACACGAGAATGTTAATAATGAATAATATGAAATTACAGTTAGTTGAAAATTTTCATAAGAGACAGAAAAATATATTTCCAAAAGCTGTCAGTCATGAGTGCTTTATTAACTTAACCACAAATAAGAATAAAATTTTAGAATGAATGCACATGAGAAATGTTTTTATTACCAATAATTATAATGCTGCACATTCATTTTAACATCTCAATCTTGTAAAAATTAGAGTTTACAGTTTACATATTATAATACACTCCTTTCACGAAGAGTTACATGACCATGTACGTGGAAACCTTTACTTAAAAGTATTAAAAGATACGAAAATTAATAAAACAGACCTATTATTTAACATTGTAAGTAAAGTTTATTAACATCTTCGAAGAACGTATGTATCGTATTTAAAATGAGTTACTAATAAGGACAATTGAATCAATTCAATAATCAAAACAAAAGCATAACATTTTCGTTGTGTGCAGGAGATATTTGTTGTCATTCAACGTACGATTATTACAAAATATGAATGCTTCTGTTATTAAGATAAATTTGTGCCTAAAATACAGTTTATATTAGCGGAATTTATGTCTGTTTGAAACTACAAAATTTGGATGTAGTTTATTATGAATTCTTATAGAATGGAGGTTATGGATTTTGGTAAGCGTGCAAACTAACAAAGAACTAAATGAAA